ATTTTATCAAAGGCATAGAGGATAGAGTTGTGAGGTTTTTTTTTTTTTAAATAGCTATCATAATCGATCAAATTCAAAATACTTGATCTTAATAAGATATTTTTAAGATGACAGGCATAATTTTAGTCTTTCAACCTTAAATGTGCCTTCAGAAAACCTGAACTAGTGCAATTTAATATAATATCCACATTTTTTCTTGGCAAACCACTTTACTTTGTCATCTTCAAATCATTAAATTGGCCCAGTATAATAATCATAATTTGTAATATGGGAAACCCCTAGGACATGTTTCATTAACCAGATTACCCTATTTTTTTTCAAATAAATAAATGCTATAAAATAAAAACACCCTTTTAAGATTAGAAGGGCCAGATCCTTAGCTGGAGAAATTTGGAATATTGATATTCTCTAGTAACTGGATATAAAGAGTTATCTGAATTCCACTACTGAGTGAAATGTGTCTGTTTCCCAAACTATACTTTACAAAGCACATACAACAGCATAATTAACCACAAATTGTAATTTAGTTCAAATGATGAGTCATAATTTTCTAAAATGTCATTTTAATAATTTCACCTTTTTGAATGGGAATCTATTGCATCAGCTGACTTAAACATCCTTCAGTAAGTAAACCATGTGCAAACAGGATACAATTATTAGGGCCGGACAACCTCTGGAGAAAGGTCAAAGAAAAGGCAAATATTTATATTGCTCATGTTTCAAGGCCTTTTTATTATTATTATTAAAGTGAAAAGACCATTTTCTTTTGTAAGATGCTGATAATTTGGTCCTCTCTAAATTTAGACTCAAATTGAATAAAAGCCCTATTAAATAAACAAACAACTAAAACTAGAAAAAAAATCAGACTCAGGAAAAATCAGTGCTTTCTCTAGTGCTTTATTCTATAAAGAGCTCCTGGAAGTTCTACCCATTTTTTGTTATCATTGCAAGATAACAAAAAATGTCTCTACCTTCCAAATACGGGAATTTTTTGCTTTGCTTGTTTGTTAGACATGTGCAGTTTCTTTATTGTCTACCGTCAGGTGACAGTCCTGAAATAACCCCTTCCTTGGTAAAAGATCACCTGTTGTAGCTTCCAGGGATCCTTATAGCCACTCAAAAGATAAATCTTTGATCAGTTCGTGGACTGTAAACTTTTAGCAGGAAATGACAAGGGTCGGAGTGTATTTTATTTTTATTTTGTTGCTGATGTTGTTTTATAATCATGTAACTGGGAGAGAAAGGAGATTTTCAAGATACCAGAAGGTGCCCCAAATCTTGGCCCAACGAAATGTTAACATAGGGTAAAATCCTGGTCCTACTGAAGTCAGTGGCACAACTCCCATTGACTTCAGTAGAGCCAGTATTTCATTCCTGCAATGTCACACAATAGAGCTGAGGGAGGACTCCAAAACAGACTGTGTAACTCACCTGACCTCTATTTTAGTGATCCTGATTGAGTAAACACCCTTATTAGAACTTTCTGGAAGGAAACACCCTTATTAGAACTTTCTGGAAGGAAACACTGCATGAGGCTAACTGAAGGCAAAGCAGCAGTACAGATTAACATCTGCATAAGCAACGAGACGTGAGAACTAAAAACGTGTCTCTCTCCATATCACATAAAGGAAGGATGAGACTTCAAACACATGGAACGGCAGAGAATAACCATTTGATAAGCATCCAAATGCATCTCTTACCACACCATGTTTGTGTTTAAAATAACTGAAATTTAATTGTAGCAGTTTTGGTTTTTCAGTTTTATAAAATGGAAGGAATATAGCGTGGCAACTCAGAAAAAAGTCTTCCACCCATACCAGTAACATTTTGAACACTGACATAATTCGCTGTCAGTCAGCATCCCTAGTCACTAGAAAAGATTGAATAAGCCTATTTTGTTCCCATATTTCCACACCTGATAAAAGATCAACTTTTATATAACATAATATTATTGGGGGTGTTTGGGGATTTTGTTTGTCCCACCCATTACTATTTTAATGTGGGCCATTCTACACTGGAAGGATTGTCAAGCCATCTTATGAGAAGTTACAAAAACATCTTTCCTAGATGCAATCTAAAGACACAATCAGTGAAAAGGAACTTGCTCCTCTGTGTGGAAAGTTAGGCGTGGGAGTATTTGGCCTCGTTAGCTAATTATGACACTGATAAGCACTTAAGTTAGTCAGTTTTTCACTTCTGTCATTTGCTTGAAGTCAGCTGCTTTTTTTTTTTTTACAAAACGTTTTGACTGCTTAAAAGGGAATACATCATCATTTCCTTTCCCCAATCTAACAGCACTTCCCAACGAAATAGCTTCAATCATGCTTCATAAAATCCACTGCAACTATATTGCTGGAAACATAAATCCTCAACCTAGGTTTTTAGTACTTCTAAAGCAAATGACCCCAATGATCATTGACTGGTTTATTTTTGCACTCATCCTCCTTCTCGATTAAGGAAGTATAATGTACAGATTATTCAGAATATTTTTAAATGCTTGTGTTGGTGATGTGAATGTGCATTCTACTGCATCCACAAATTATCAGACTGAAGATAAATCCCAAGTGTGTACAGAGCAGCTTTTCAGGTCATAAAAGGTATGTCAAGAAATTCTTCAGTTTTTGTCATTTCCTTTGAGTAAATTTAGATCTATAAATTCCTTTCCAGACATTATTTATTTTTCAGAAATCCTGATTTTTTTTTCCTGTAGCAACCTGACCAGAGAGATTTTCATGACACAGATGCTTCCTTCACTCATTCACCATTTACTGCAGCCGATAAAGGTTGTTTGTTCCTTCCACATTTATAATCAGTGTTATTCTCCCTGATTTTCTAATATAATTCCTATGTTTTACAAAAACAGTGGTTGTCTGTTAAGAGTGTCACTAGATAGGCTATTATACGTGTAACAAACATGCATACATACATACACCTCTTTCCTTTGCCATTGTTGTTCAAAGTCTTATTCAGCCTCTTTTAATGATATTTGTGAATTTCATCCCCACTCTACAACTCCTTGTATTTGTCATGCTAGGAATTCCAGGCTATGCAATCCTTTCCAAGGGCAGCTAGAGAATAATCACAATTTGAAAACTTGCTTTTCTCCACCTTTCAGGCACTACGGATACAGTCTATTTACCCACTACACCTAGCTCAGTCAATGCAAATTCTGAGGGATGATTCCTCCACCCCAGTGTAGGGCTATAGTGAAAATTTTCCAGACTGCTACTGAATTGTTAATTGTGATAGCTTCTGAGCTCAAACGGAGATGGTGAAAGCACAGAGGCATTTCTGCATAGCTCAAGTGCATCTGGTGGCTCCTTGCTACTTACCACCTCTTAAACAAAATGTCCTAGGTGCCTGGAGCTTTAAGTGTAACAGCAATTAAGTGGGGATTTGCAGTGCTCTACAGCCCCCATGCCTTACAAAAAAGTGCCTGGGTGAACTGTTGCACTTTACAAGCTAGTGTATACAATCTCTCTACTGTAGTCATTTCTACCACTCCCCGATTTACATGTGTTGCTAATCTGCATCTGATTGTGTTACTTCAACTCCTGTGGCTGGGGAAGGGGAGGAGGAGAGCACGGGGAAATGAAGGCTTCACATCCAAAATGTCAAGCTGTGCTTGAAGAATGATAGAAGACAGAGACTCTCACTCTCGTTCCTTAATACAGCCAGAGATGAAGCACAGATACCTGAGTGGAGCTCTACCACCCCCTGCTGGCAAAAAAAGCAGTGGATGGGAAATCTGTCAGGAATCAAACACCAGCTACAACACCATCGCTTAACTTAATCTTTCTTTTTACTTTCCTCTCTAAAAAGAATTGCATGCACCATGTATACACACAATCATTTTTCACCAGGAATTTAATGTAGTGATTCCAGATGCAATTTGTAGATTCTTGCACAAGGGATTGCCAGAGGGTGAGGGGGGGGGGGGGGGGAGAGGAAGAGACTGCTGTAGCAATCTAGTTCAATTGTAAATTAACGCTAAAAACTTGTCTGAACAGTTTGAAGCAGTGCAATTAATTTACACAAAGGAGCACTGTCAGTGTGTCACATCCCGTACAATCCCTTCTCAACAGTCCAGTTCCCTTTCTTTCTCCCGAAAAGTGGCATAAATAAAAGAATAGGTATTATACAAACCACCAACTGCTGTAGGACGTGTATACGTGTACTGAGGAAATTAAAGCAAATAGTACATCCAGGTGTAACCTTTGCATACATCACTTCTCTCCAAACATGTTTATCATTATTTTATTTCGAAAGTATATACATATTATATATACACCCACCTCTATATCTAGCGATACAGATACACACTCAAGCCTCACTGCTACAGATACTCTGCTTTACTGATCACAACAATTCGTTTTACTTTCCAATAGACTGAAACGAACCATCCTCAGCCACTTCTTATTACAGAAGGAGAAAGATCTTGACAGGCAAGCTTCAAGTATTACTTCTCACACCGACAAGGGTTACAATCCCTTTTCTTAAGAATAAAGTCCACGTTGACTGCACACAAACCAGCAGACCCCTATTTTAAACACTACTCGTTTTCGCTTTTTTTCTCCCCCGGACCAATAAATAAATAAATAGATGAATTAATTAATTAAAAAACCCACTCTTGCCAAAAAAAAAAAAAAGAAAACAAATCAAGCACAAAAACTGCCGACCCACAACACACTGATTGTTACAAACAAACAAACAAAAAAAACTAAAAAATAAGAAGAGCCCAAGCAAAGCATCTAAATGCAGTTGGCATCTTCCAGCTCTTTTTCTTTTCTTTTCTTTTCCTTCTAAATGATTTTTTTTCCCTTGGAGATATTTTTAAGAGGAAACACAATCCAACTTTGAGGGACGTGGGTGATGCAGAGGTTATTTCTCCCCCCGATGGCCTGGGGGGCGAGATCTTTGCAGATTTGGGGGTGACTGTAAATCAGGGCGCATAGTGGTGCGGAGGGTAGCTAGGAAAGGCAAGAAAGCCCCGCTCCTACCTTGCCCGCTACTGAGGAGCAATCCGAGCAGGTAGAGAGAGAGGCGGCTCATGTTCAGGAGCTCACGCTGGTGGACAGTTCCCAAGTTAGAGGTGCCGAGCCCCCCCGGCTGCTCTGGCCGCAGCTCCCCGCTCGCACGCCGAGCGCTCGCCAAGTGACTGCCAGCGCCGCTCAGCGCCGCACTATATCAGGGAGGCAGCGGAGGAGGAGGCGTGTAGGCGGGCAAGGAGGGAGCGTGTATCCCTCCGCGCGTGCTCATACACACACACACACACACAAACACAGCTCATACACACACACGAGCGGGGATTCTTCCGCCGCTCAGCCAGCGGTCGCTGGGGGCTGCTGCTGCCAAGCGCCCGGCCCCAGGGGCGCCAGCGTTCGAGCCTTTCCGCTGCAGCCCGGGAGAGCGGCCAGGGCTGGGCTGAGGACGTGACCTGCTCCTGGGGATTGCACGGGGCTGCGCGGCCGGGGGGTGCTGCTGGTGCCGCGGTCCGTGCGGCAGCGGAGGCTTCGCAGGGAGCAGCGCTAGGGTTGCAGCGGGCTCGTAGCTGGAGCTCGCCTTTGCAGGGGGCTGGTGTCTGTCACCTGCCGGACTCGGGCCAGCGCCTGCGGGCAGTGGGCTGGGTGCGTGTGGGGGACAGAGGTGGGTGCATTGGGGTTTTGGTTCGTGGGGCGGCCGCGCGAAGGCGTTTGCATGGGGATTGCTCCTCCTCCCCACCACCACCACCAGCAGCAGCTCTGCTGTTTGCCCCGTCAGCCCTTCCGTGTGTGTTACAACATGGGAATGTTCTTAGGCAATGGGACACATGGGAGCCTCATTTATGTTTCTAAAACGTCACTGATCTTTACACCTATCCCTTTCCTGATCTAGGAAATTGCCTGCTTCGGGTTAAAAACAGACTATGTAAATCGTATTCTACACTAAAAAACTTGCAGCTTGCATACTCTACATTTCCTGATACTGTAGGCTGTACAGTCTCATTATAGACCTTGCAATATAAAGTCTCCTTAAAGGAAAGAGAGGCATTTTTTAACCAGCATGACTTTGAAAAGGTACAATTCATTGAGTTCTTCATTGAACTTTGGTCTCTGCAGCATCTTGCATGTATTTGCCATCTTATGGGAGACAGAAGCAGATTTATTTTGACAGGCAGCTATGATATGCAATTAATAAAAGACTAGTCCAGTTTATTAACACTTACCTAACAGTTGAGATACCTTTCCCTTCCACTTTTTATTGAGTGGGGAAAAACTGTTTACAAAAAAACAAACCTAAAGTGACATGACAAATATTTTCAGGTTGACACTTGATGGGAAATATTTCTAAAATATTGGTGCTGCAGAAAGGAAGATCATACCATTAGCCAAACCTTGCTGATCACATCAAGAAGTATAGTAAAACTGAAGGATTCCCTTTAGCGGATGGCATTTAGTAGTCTCAGAAATATATATCAGATAATATTAATAGAGAAAAAAGTGAGACACTTGTGGTCAGTGGTTAATCTTTACTATATAAATCAAATATGTGATTATTCCAAGGATATGCTAGGCTAGGAGCTCTTAAGGGGGAAAGTTTTTTGTTACTTACATTCTAAATTTAAAAAAGTAATAGTTTCTTGTACAATAAAAATGAGCTCGCTGAGTGTCACGTAAGAAATACCTGTCAAACCAGTGTATGACAAGTTCAGAAACCTTTGACTTCAGCAGGCTATGGATATAATGCAAGACTAAAAGAGCAGAGGCCCATTGATTCCAATGAATATTGGGTGTTGATTTAGGAAACCACTCCAGAATATGCTAAATCCATATTTATGTGCTTTCCTGCATAGGAATATTTTCCTGAATCACAGTCATTGGAAAAGGTTCAGAAAAGGGCAACAAAAATCATTAGGGGTTTGGAACAGGTCCCATATGAAGAGAGACTAAAAAGTTTTGTACTTTTCAGCTTAGAAAAAGAGGAGACTAAGGAGGGATATCATAGAGGTCTATAAAGTCATGCCTGGTGTGGAAAAAGTGAATAAGGAAAAGTTATGTACTTGTTCCAACAATATAAGAACTAGGAGTCACCAAATGAAATTAATAGGCAGCAGGTTTAAAACAAACAAGAGGAAGTTCTTCACTTGCACGCAGTCAATCTCTCGAACTTTAACAGGGTTCAAAAAAGAGCTGGATAGATTCATGGAGGTTAGGTCCATCAATGGCTATTAGCCAGGATGGGTAGGAATGGTGTCCCTAGTCTCTATCTAAAAATGGGTGACAAGGGAGGGATCACATGAGGATTACCTGTTGTGTTCCCTCCCTCTGGGGCATCTGGTATTGGCCACTGTTGGTAGACAGGTTAGATGATCTGTTGGTCTGACACGGTATGGCCATTCTTATGTTCTTACAGTCTTCATGTCCAGTTAGAAAAATAGACTTTGAAAAGGCAAAGTGGAAAGACAATGAAATAATTTATTAGATGAAGTCATGCAAGAAAAGGAGAAAGTTACTGCACAAAAGAAAACTCCCTCCGCATTAAGCAGATTGAATTCCATTGCCAAATTAGTTTTACCCTTGGTTTTAATTTTAGTTTGAAAACACCACCACGCAGTAGTAATTTTATACATAACAGAAATATTAGAAAAAAGCAAGCATTAAAACATGACTAGAAATTAAAGGACCAAATAGTACACACTTCTTAACAGCCACACTTTGGGTGTGTCTAGACTACAGGTTTTTTCAAAAAAAGTAGCCTTTTTTTGAAAAAACATCACCTGCATCTAGACTGCAGCTGTGTTCTTTCAAAAGTAAATTGAAAGAATGTGGCAGTTTTTTGATCGTGGTAAACCTCATTTTATGAGGAATAATGCCTTTTTCAAAAGTACTCTTTCGAAAAAAGGCGCTATTGAATGCAAACTGTTCATTTTTGAAAGAGAGAGCCTAGACTCTTTTTCAAAAAAGCAGCTCACTTTTTCAAAAGTACTGGTTGCAGTCTACATGCTCTCTTTCGAAAGAGGCTTATAGTCTAGACGTATCCTTTAACATAGAGATTGAAAAAATATAACATAGGATCAATAACACGGAGCCTATGATCTTAACATACCGTTAACAGAAGGAAATCATACATGTACTTCATATTTTCCATTTACAAGATTTTGCTGATGATTATAATACAAATATTCCAGTACAAGTTGAGGCAAGAAGTCACTGGTCACAAACTTCAATTACAATGCCCCAATTGGAAAGATAAAATTGAAATCTTTTATAGAGTCCAGTGAACGCAGATTTTTGGTATTTTTGGTTATAAACCTTTAAAAAACAATGAGTAGTCCTGTGACACCTTAGAAATGAAGATATATATGGTAAATATCATGAGCTTTCATGGGCAAACCCCACTTCTTCAGAGGAGAGGACTGTTTTAAAGTTACAGACCACCATGGCTACCTCTTTGAGACTTTTAAACCCTTTAAAGGTTTCTTCATCAGTGCTGTATCCAAGTGTGCAGTTGTTGCTGCACTGAACAGAGATAAGAACACAATTTTCTAAGTCTGACTCTTTACTCTGACACTGTTACTAAAATACATTTTTCTGAAGTAACAGGTTGCTCAGATATGGGCTGTTTGATCAAGTAGAGCTAAAGGGATGTGAAATGTCAGTTAGTTTTTAACTGAAGCAAGGTCTACAGTGACATAAGATGTGACCAAACATCACACCCAGAACTTTAAAAAAATGACTAGATGGCAACATGAAATGATCGTTCCTGCTACAATTCCCACCAAGGTAGATTCTGGTGATCATGACAGCTTATTAAATGAACAAAACATTTGAATTTTGAAGCACTATAAAATTAAATCAATATAAATACAACTGTAGTGTCTGCCATTCATTAGATAAGCACGGTTCCTTCAAGAAAATGGAGCATATTGAAACAGTCATATGCATATCTTTTACATAACGTTTGTTTGCGACCCACAGTGCAGTTTGGTTTACATGGAGCTCAACACACAGCCCATGGGTGGGATCCTTTGAACATGGCCTCCACTGGGAACACAACAGTGATTCAATATAATTATATGCATTTTAGTACTTAAATTCCTGGACTGTTATTGCACATTGAAAGTGCTGTCATATGGTTGGAAATTGGGTAAATGTTGCATTTTGTTAATATCAGCAGATCTGACTTAAATTGGGCCTGTGTGTTGTGTAGTCTTGCCTTAATCTTTATATTCATGCCCAGTCAGTGTGAAAAAAGCAATTTGCATATATTTGCAAATGTATTTGTATGTATGTGCAACTTAAGTTGAGGCCCTCACCATGTGCTGTGAGTATCATTGTGGCACCCAGGGCTTCCAAAGTTGAGTGCCACAATGAGTTGTCATAAGTTGTCATAGCTTCTTTTAAGTCACTGGAGCTATAAAATTTACATCAATTTAAGATTCCCCATTAGCTTGTAAACTTTATGAGACATAGACCTATTGTTAAAACTTTCATTTGCTATTTCAATAATAAAGTTGACATTTAAAAAAATTATTTGAGGCATACACATTTACACAAATATATTTAAATACTATAACTTAAATTCTGCTGATAATGTTGTTGTGAGTAGTTTGGGTTACTTATTCACATTCCAATTCCTAAAAAAAACCAATGGCTAGTTTAGCCCCTCAGCCTAGAATTGTCATGGGTACCTTGAAAATCAGTTAACTACCTATAGCATCATACATGTTTGGAAATGATTTGAAAAGCATGGCATTTTTACTTCTAAAGATCCCTGTATTTAGAAACATTTTTGAACAATTGTAAGCAAGTCAAAATCTCCTAGAGATGAGAAAGAAATGAAATCATTTTTCTTGTTTTAAACACACAATATCTTTCTCTTTGTAGCAAACACTCTTATTCAAACATTTTGACTAATTTTCTGAAGTGTTTGTGAGCCAAATTGCTGATCTTCACCAAAGTGAGTAATTATCCCAAATTTGATGCTTTCGTATGAATACTGAAAACACAATAGAAAAAGCACCAACATGAATTATACAACAGTGAACAATAGCATTACAATGGTGAGGAAATGAAGTACAATAAACAAAAGGCAGTTTCGTAAGTATTTGCACTACAGTTATGTTTCAAGTTCTGA